AGGCGTTTGAGGATAGCATTGCATGCGAAGCCCATGAAAGCATGCGCCTGCCGGTGTTTGCAGCTGGCCCCAAAATCTGCGCTGTTGCGCGCGAACGTGGGTTCGGTGGGAATAACAAGGAACCCAAAATGGTATTAGTGATTATTAAGGCCCCTGTATTAAGGCTTCATGGTCTTCTTGATCATCTTGGCCTATTCCGGTGACCTGGAGCCTTCAGTAGGTGTGGAATGCCTTCCTACTCCCAGACCCCCGGGAGGATCCAAAAAGTAGATCCCTTAATGGGGGTTCCTATAAAGTACCCTTAGTAGTATAGGGCCCCAAATTAGGGGATCTACTTTCTAGATCCTCCCGGGGGTCTGGGCTGTTGATGATGTAAACCCTGCACTACGTGAAGGCCCCTAAGCTATGGGAACAATGGTATATTTCTTATCATGGGTAATGCAGGATTTACAACATCAGCCGTAGTTCTGCTTGATGCTGGAGCAAGCCCTGAAGAAACAAAAGTTAAAACTTTCAGAATCCACTACCTTATAAGAACCTCAAAAATTTGGAAAAATGAGCTTACCGCCAATGTGAGCTTACAGCCAATATAAGTCTAAGGAATCCCGACAAAAGAAAAAGGACCCCTAGAGATCCTTTTTAAAGGACCCCTCTTTAAAGAAACCCTTATACTCCCCTTTTAAGGAACCCCTTAAAGCCCTAAACCCTAAACAAACCCTGAAGCCAGAAGCCTCTAGGCCAATAAGTATTCTAGGACACCCAGTAACCTACGAATAAAAAGGCCTCTCTTCTTGGTATTGGGTAACTTTATAAGGAACCTAGGACTACAAAAAGGGAATAAGGGTACTACTGGGCATCCTAAGTAGTTAAAGAAACCTTTAAGTATTTCGGGCTCCGAGGCTACAGGACAAGCTGCTTGTAGAGGGCCGTGTGGCTGCTGACAGTCTTCGATGCCACAAAGCCACACCTCACTTGGAGGGTCGGGGGACTTAGAAACATAATGGGTTCCTTAAGGGCCCCTTTAAAGGGATCTATTGGGATCCTACAAGGGTATAGGGTTTAGGGTTAAGAGTGCTTGGCGGATCGGGGGACTTAGTAACTGGTTATTTTAGGGACTTATAAGTACCATAACCCCAATTAGGGTCCCCTTTAGGGTACTTATAAGTCTACTTATTACCTACTTACTAAGTCCCCCGACCCTCCCTGCTATGGAGCCCTCTGGTATCCTTAGACGGCACTTTGAACCCTTTAAGGGAAACCTGCTACAGAGTTTTTGGTACCCTTAAAAGGCACACTCCAAGCCCTTAAAGGGAATCCTACTACGGAGCCTCTGGTACCCTTAAATGGCACCTGCCCTGACGAACCAAGGCTTTCGAGTTTAGGGTAGTTTAGGGTTTAGGGTTTCGGCTTAGAGTTTGAGGTCTTCAGGGTTTAGGGCTTAGGGCCATAAGGGTCCAAGTAGTCCTTATTTATGGTTCTTGATACCTGAAAGGCCCTAATAGTACTAAAGTAAGGAGTACTTGGATCCTCTGGGCATCACATCAAGCCTAATCTCGAATCCTGAACGCTCAAACTTAACAACGTGACACCCTACATAAACCTTCAGCAATCTGAACTCAAACAGGGTTTGGGGGGATACGCAATTCACTGAAACTCTCTTCAGGAACCCTGACGAACGCTAGTATCGAAGGGGAAAAGGAGGGACCCTTAATAAGGACCCCTAGGTATATACCGGTAATATAGCTATCATATACCCATTATATAGCCCATTATAGGGTAGGGGTCCCCATTAAGGGTCCCTCCTTTTCCCCTTTGATAGTAGCAATTGTTGAACAGGCCCCTGCATAGAGCTCCCGTGGCCGAAACCCTTTGGCGCCAGAGCGCGAGCCCTCAACTTCCAATCCACAGCCATATCAACCATATACGATTATGTGCCCGCAAACAACAAACAAGAAACAGAACAGGTGGCCGTGCAAGGTACTTTGTGTTGCTTTGTATGTTGGTGTGTTGTTCGGTTGCTTTTCTTTGTTTTATATATGTGCGTGTGCGGTGATGTGTGTTTCTCTTCTTGTTTTTCCTTGGCAGACGCAAACAAAAAGCCCATAAAGCACAACTGCGCAATACACAAAACAGAACCCAAAACGAGCCTCAGGGGCGGGCACTGTGGTTTCGAAGGATGCTTGCTTGTTGTTTGCTACGTTGTTGTTTTGTTTTCACTCTTGACCTGATTTACGTGAGTTTTCGTTTTAATATCGCAGTGTTAGCATGATGAGTTGTCTTACATATACCAAACAGCAATACTATTCCTCGCAGTTATATTAATATTCAGTTCAGATCAATATTCAAATTAACATGACCATTAGCATAAGAACTAATCTTAATACGGTTAACAAGAATAACAACCATCAATATACTCATATATGTATATACGTGCAAGGCAGGATAAAGTATGCACATAAGTATATACATATGTATATATAGATATAAACATAATACACATATTACATGCAACATGTGATATAACATTATCGCGACTCTCTGCGTAGTTCTTTTGGTTTAGCGTCTTAGGGTTGAGGGTCTCAGGTCTTGGGGCGTCTAGGCTGATGTCGATCTCGCATAATTACGAATTACAAGAGACTACCAGCAAAGAGACGGGGCCTACCAATCAGGGATCTACCCAGACCTTCCAAAATCCCTTAATTAAGGAATATACCTTAAATTACAGTAGGATCCCTAATATGATTTAAGGTATATTCCTTAATTAAGGGATTTTGGAAGGTCTGGGTGTAGACTCTCTGCTGTAGCTCATATGGTTGAATGATAAAGGGTTTAGGGTTTAGGAGGCTTGACGTGCGGTTTAGGTTATGAGTCTTGGTTTTGGTTTCGGGTTTTAGGTTTACGCCTGTTGGTTTAGGGTTTAGCATAAATTGAGGCATAAACTCTTTGACGCAATAACCAGGACTACCCAGAGACAACAATATCCCTTGATCAAGCAATATTTCGTAAATAATGTTAGGGATCCGATTAATTTAAGGTATATTCCTTAATTTCCTTACAGTAATCTTATAGATCCCCTTAAGGAGCCCTTAAAGGAACCCTTAGATATTCCTTAATTAAGGGGTTTTGGAGTCTCCGACTACGTGGCTTTAGTCAAGACACCCTGCCAAGGCTCACTTGGAAGGGCGGGGGACTTAGTAAGTAGGTAGTAAGTAGAGTTATAAGCACCCTAAATGGAGTTACCCCAATTATAACCCTACTTACTACCTACTTACTAAGTCCCTAAATCCTATAGTGCCCCTATAGACCCCTTTAAAGGAAACCCTTATAATCCCCTTTAAAGGAGCCCCCTACTTACTAAGTCCCCTGCCCTTCCAGGCAAAACCCAAATAGCCGAAGCCCTGGAGGCCCAAAGGCCTCCTTCAGGGTGAAAGTTGAGGGTATACAGTCCTTTTAGGGTTTTCTAGGGTGCCTTTAAGGGTACTTATGAGGGCTCTTTTAAGGGATCTGTAGGGATATGCTTTGAAGTAAAAGCCAGAAAGTTGGAATATCATTATCCTAAACCCTTCATGGTAAATTATAGGGTATCCTACCCTGAAACCATATTCCAACTTTCTGGAGTTCCCTTTAGTTGCGTTTAGGGTTTAGGGATGTTTAGGGTGTAGGGTTTTAAAGTTTAGGGTATAGTTGCATCTTCTACGCGTTCCTTGCATGACTACAGAGTAAATGCATTGCCCTCATAACTATAGTTGGGCGTGTGAGGGGCTCAGTAACGCTCGGTAAAGCTTACTGTAGGATCTTGGGTTTACGGACTGTCCAGTTTCCTGGTGGAACATGTTGCACTATGAAGCGATTTTCATACAAAATATTAGAAAGGCCGCGTTGTCTAAGACTACCCCCCCAACCCGAAACCCTAAGCTCGGGGAAAGGCTTGCAGCGGAGGCACTCTACGGTTTCTGTGAGCATACCCAATGTCAAGCACATGTCGCGAAGAGCTTTGAGCCAAATGTAAAGACTGCGGGAGGCGCCGGAATTTGTAGTATCCTTGGGGGAGGGGGGTCCAAGGGGGGTATATAGCCTAGTGATCCCTAATTCTCCCTAGTACTCCCTTAGGTTCCCTTACAGTCCCCTAAGGATTCCTTATACCCTCCCCCCTTGAACCACCCTCCCTTAAGGATCCTATAAGGAATAGAAACGGCCGGGCTGTAATGCAGGGGCCTTAGTAACTAGAATCGGGTGTTTTGGGGCTTCTTCTTGTAAAGATACTATCATATACCGCCGAACATTTTTCTAAATTAATTTTTACGGCCCTTAAAATATGTTATGATAGACTTCGCATGGGAATTATGCCAAGCTATTGCTTCTGATCATTCGGACCTCCACAGTGCTTGTGAGAAGCATCAGAAGCTACTTCAGCTGTCCCTATTCAGGGTTTAGGGTTTAGGGTTTCCCAACACATTCTTGTTTCACTTGTTTCATGACCTTCTATATACAAGCCTTCATGAACCCAAACCCGCACCAACAAATCAACGTATACTTTAGGCACACCATGCGTGTATTTTGGATCGTGCTACATGCCCTAAACCTTAAACCCCGAAGTAATGTTGGGAGTGTGCAGGCTTGTGCTCGTGGAATCTTATTCTTCAACTTCAGGCCAGTCCCCCAGAACCCCCTCCCCTCCAGTAGCCACTTTGAAGGAACCCTTAAAGGAAGGACGCCTTGCCCCCGTAGTTCAGCTCTTGCAGCCCCCTCCCCCAACCAAAACAAGCCTTTGGAACTTTCAAGAACTCTGCAGAGCATCTGCAAAGCGAACCCTATAGAATCCTTTACTAGGTGGGGCGTCTAAAGCCTTTGAAAAATACATTAGTACATAAGATCCTCTTGAGCCCAATAAGGGAATATGTAAAATCTCCCAGAGCCTTACCTTGATCCTCTTGAGCCCAATAAGGGAACATATAACCTCCCAAGGCCCTACCTAGTTTAAGAGCTGAAGGTGCGGCTGCCTAGGCTGAACACCTTTTCGCTATCGTCATGTTCCATCTTCACCTGGGCCGCTAGAGTACGGTTAAGGGTTTAGGGTTTAGGTAGTAAGTAGACTTATAAGTACCCTAAAAGGGACCCTAATCGGAGTTATGGTACTTATAAGTCCCTAAAATAACCAGTTACTAAGTCCCCCGACCCTCCAAGTAGAGTAGGGTTTGGGGCTGGCATCAGGAGTTGGGGTTGACTGGGATGTTTGGTTTTCCTTCAGTTCAATGGTTCTTTCAAGGCTTCAATGCGATCTGAAAGGGTTCATACGGTTGGTGATATAAATCCTGCATTACCCGTACTTTTAGGGATTCATGGGTCTGTGCGGTGGAGTTCTGTAGCAAGGACTCGACGAGACTAAGAATTCACGGCTTACGGTTTGGGTATGCGACTTGAGAGTTAGTTTGCATTCAATTTGGGCTTGGAATACCGGATTCTTACTCTGGCCTTTGAAGTAACCAGGGAGCAAAAAGTACAGACTTGTATTTCATAATGGTTCCTGTAAGGAACAGAAAACAAAAGAAGTATTCAAGTATGGTCCTCCAAACCCAGGTACTTCTATGAACGAACACTACGAAAGTGTTGTCCCTCAGCAGCTGCTCTGGGCTCAAACAATTGGAAGTGAATTTTGGGGTGAAAATCGGGTTAAGGCTCCAGGATTAAGGGTTAAGGTTTAGGGTTTAAGGGAATTCCTGGTATAAAGACAGCGTGAGCACTACGAGCCACATTGGCAGCAACAGCAGGAGCCTTGCTTCACGGCTTGGGGTCTCAAACCCCTGAACCCGGAAACCGAAAATCCCCAAGCCTTAAACCCCTAAACCCTAAACCCTAAACCCTAAACCACCCCTTTCAGGAGCCCTTATCGATCCCTCTCAAGGAACCCGCGTCTCGGATCCCTTCGAAGTCTCAAAGGAGCCCTTAAGGGAAGACCGTGATCGGGGCTGGTCTGGGTCGGCAAAAGTCGCAGTCCTGTTCCCTGGGTACTGTAGGGTGTAGGGTTTAGGATAGGCGCCTTAGTAATTCTACAGGAATCCTTAACAAGGATCGATACGTTTGCAAGGGTTTTATCGGGTGTTAATGTTAGGGGCCTGGTGTAAGCGCCAAAGCCCAAAGCCTTTGAAGCTCGAACCAAAACAACCACTGCACCTGCGAGACAGGTTTGTGAGATGCCGGCCAAGACTTTTAGCCGCGAGGGTATGTCCTGTGGGCGTTCTGGCGTGGCTAATAGGGTTGCTTAGGGATGACTCAGAAGCGCAAATGCCCACTTTGTTGTGGTTCCTGGTTACTCAAATCCCTCCTGACCCGAAACCCTAAACCTGAAAAAGGGAGGTGTCTTGGGCTACGGGCAGGGTTAAGGCTCTTGTTGCTTCTACGTGTCCTGCAAGGCCCACACACATTGCCCGTAAAGCCCACGGTGTATAGAGCTGTTTGGGGTTTAGGGTATAGGAGTTTAGGGGGCACTCTAAACCCTAAACCCTAAACAAGACAGAGCAAAACGTTTCAACCTTGAGGATAGCCATGGCATTCTAGGGATCTAAGGACTCACATATTAAGGCTTCTGGGCCCGAAGATCTTACTATATAAGGCTTTTGGGCTATGTCGATCCCTAGGGGTAGGAACAAAAAAGGAGGCACAGACCTTGAACTCTGGAGCCTGGTATCTTGGAGTCCGAGTAGCCAGCTGGAAATAAAGTGCTCTGAGAAAAAATATCTATACACATCTCAATATGTGAAGTATATATATATATATGATTATAAGTACATGTGTGTGTGTGAACAAATTAACCCAGAAACAAACCGTTGGTCAACTGTCAAATTGTGCGTCCAAGGCTGCGATGTGATGCGGCAGTTTCCGAGAATAGACCCTAATATAGTACCCAAAATAATAGAAATCATGGTCATAAGGACCCAAAACTAAGCTAGCCTAGTTAAACCCTAAAGCCCTTAAAGGTTCCCTATAGAACCCTTAAAGGGACCCTTAAAGGAATACTCAAAGGAACCCTATATAGGAACCCGAGGACCCCAAAAGAAGGCACCCCTAGTTCCCGGAAACTCCCGTGCGGCTCACGTGAGAACTGTCGATGTCATCTCCGCGGCTAAGGGTTTGGGGTTTAGGGTCCCTGAATAAGGGAGATTCCGAAAATTAAGGGTACCTTATTTTGGGGTCCTGATAATCAGGATCCTGCTATTTAATGTACTGTACTACTAGGGTCCCCTGTTTTCGGAAACTCCCATAAAGGGATCTATATAGGTTTCTGTAGGGTGTCTATAAGGGTACTGTATCGGTAATCCTCCAAACTAGTACAGGCTTAAGCGTTAGGGTTCAGGGATGTAAATACTTAAGAGTTAGGGTTCAGGGATGTAATAAAGTGCTTGGGGTTGAAGAGTTTATTGCCAAAAAAGTTTACAGTGAACCCCATAAAGTTGGAAACCGGATGAAGGCCAAATAGTGCTCGGATTCCCTATACAGTGCTCTTAGGGATTGAGGCTACTGGGTTTCCAACTTTTTGGCTTATACCGTAGGTCTTAGAGTATAGGGTTCAGGGATGGTATAAAGGGTGCGCGGTTTAAGAGGTAGGGTTTCAGGGATGGTGCTCAGGATTTCGGGTCCATGAGTTTGGAGTTTAGGGTTTCGAGATTAGGGATGTTTGAGTGATCAAGGCTTAGGGAGCAGAGGGGACTTCGGGTTTAGAGTTTAGGGGTTTTGGGGGTTTAGGCGTTTTGGTTTAGGGCTTAAGTGTTTAGCGCAAGCCGTTTCACCAGGATAGGAAGCGCAAGGTGCGTCCATGAACATAGTCCCCATGGTAGTTTCTTTTCAGTTTAACAAGTTTCATACTTTAGCAATACCCCAAAAAAGGAACTACAACGGAGAATCCAGGTAAAGTCTGACAACACCAAAAAGGCGAAGAAACTAAGAAGGACCGGATTCGCGACCCGACGTTTCTAATGCCCTAAATGAATCCTAAACCGGAGGCCTAATACTTCGTGATTGTTTCGTCCTTGGCGCTGTCTGCTCGTGTTCGGGTTGTGAAGTGTCATGTTTGGAGTTCAGGAGCCTGAAACCTTACGACAACACCCTAGCCTTAAACCTGAAATCCTAAACCCTAAACCGTGCATGATTGGGGTGCATTCAAATAAAGGTCCTGCGCCCTCAACCTAGAAGGCAGGTGATGAGCGTACATGTCGCTGCTTCCGGCAGTTTCTGAGCATGCCCCAGCGAAATTTTCGGGGGAAAGAGGGCGATCTTGATGTTGATATATCTTAATTATCTTAATACTCCTTGTAATGGGAATATGCTCTTAAACATCGCGTATATAGGCACATACAGATAGTAGTACTGGTGAGCCATCCTGGGTGGCCAGGCTTCTCATGGAAGCGGGTGCCCAGAGGTGATTCCACATCGTTGACATGCTTCTCAAAGCCGGTGCCAACATCGACTTGGAATCATTTGCAGGGCCCTCCTCCTGGTCTTCTCAGAAGTGCCGCCTCAGGGCCCACCGAGCGGGAAAGCACATCCACTCCCCTGCTGGAGGGAAAACCTCACACCCTGAGGCTCGTCTTCATGACGACTGCAGCATTGTCGAGGTAGTTCTTGGTGATTGCTTCACCAGCAGTCACACGAAAGTTCTTGGCCTGAAAGGCTTGCATGAGGTCCACTGTTGTGACTTTCTTCTTGCGTGTCTTCTCCAAGTGCCAATTTGAAGTGTACTTCTGTGTAGGTATGCATGTATGCATGTACGTAGGTATGTATGTAGATGTGTATATATATATACATATATATATATATAATTGTATATGTTTACCGTTTTTTCTGTTTTATCTCTCTCTGTTTCTTGCAACTAATTTGAATAAACATAGTGCTCTGGGTCTGCATGAGCGGTGTCTTCTCGGAGAACTCCCATCTGTTGGAAACCTGTCGGCTTGGGGTTTACGGCCCAGGGTTTAGGGTGACTCCAATATTCCTTAATTAGGGAATACCTAGGGTCCCTTTAAGGGATCTACAAGGGATCTATAGGGTTTAGGGTTTAGGCATGATTTGAGGTTTAGGGTCTGGAGCTTAGGAATAGGTCCTTACAAGGGGGTGGGCTTCAAGAGTTTATGTTGACGTGCTCATTGAGGGTCTCTATCAATATATGGATTGGTATCAAAGGGCCGGGTGACGGGTTTGCGTAGATTCTGCACGGACGCAAACTCCTCAATCAGCTCCAGCGTAGTGGCGGTCACCCAGTCACCTGCATCTCCGGGCTTGACTAATCCGTTAAACCCTCGAGCCTAACCCAAAAACCCTGATAATCTAATATAGGGGCCTTACTAATTAGAATAGGGTTTTGGGGACCATTCTACTATACAAATGATAAGGAACCCCCACAGGAGTATTAGCAGTTATTTAGGCGCCTATCTTAAACCCTAATCCCTAAACGCAATCCGGACTGCCCTGCGCTGACCCAAGTGCATGGTCACTTCGCGAATCCTTCGTGTCATGACCGCATTCGACATGAATCGTGGAGGCTAGAGTTTACTTGGAGGTTCAGGGGCAGTTATAAGTAGGGTTATAAGCCCCCGAGTATGAGTATAAGTATAGATACCCTACTTATAACCCCACTTATAACTCCCCATGTACCTCCAAGTCGGGTTTAGGATGGTTTAGGGGCTGTGGTGTTTGGGATTAGGGGTTACGAAGCAATAAGTGTGTTGAAGACCGCCACAAATCATAAGCATCATCCCCGAACTCATCCCAGGAGTGCCAGCAGCCTCTGAATCCCAGATCTATCTTGTGAAGCAACAAAACAAAACCTTGCGGCTTGATGTTTTGTTCATTATCAAGAATGGTCTTGGCAACAGGAGCGGGGCGTCGAAGCCGTAGTTTCTGGATCCGAAGGGGATCCACGTGCCCAAATAGATATACTTCGGCCCCAAAGTAACTATAAAGGACCTGCTTCAAGGCCAAAGTGTATACTATTTGGGTACAACATGGACCATTAAAAGGGACCCTACTATAGAACCTTATAGTACCCTGACGTACCCTTAAAGGGGACCCTATCTTATAGAATATACTATTTGGGTACATGGGCCAGTAGGGTGAAGCAAGACAGAAACGACTCGAGCCTTCGTAGCTCACCTCCACCTTGACGCCCTGTTCTCGGTACACCTGCAGGCATGGCTTGGGCTTTGGGATTTAGGGTTTAGGGTCTGGGGGTTTAGGGGTTTAGGGTTCCGTAGCCTTTGGCTGTGATAGTCATCTCGTAGCAGTACTATAGCCGATAAAAGCTTCCATGCTTACCATCGTCATCATGACCAAACATCAGCGCCATCCTCATCACCATCATCATCACCATCGTCATCGCTATCATCACCGTCATGATCGTCATCATCATCACCATCAGGTTCGTTGTCATCACGAACATCAACATCAGCATGAGCAGCAATGCCATATACATAAGCCGCCACACTGCTATGAGCACAGCAGACACAAAGCGGAGAGACACAACACTGTCTGCATCAGCCCATTTACAGATGTGCTCCGACTTACCGCTGGCACTAGTACTGCGGTTGATGATAGAAATCCTGCATTACCTTAAGGACCCTAAACTATGGGAATTATGGTATATTCCTTATTATGGGCAATGCAGGATGTATATCATCAACCGTACTACTGGTGCTGGCACTGGGAGTGGTGCTGGCAACGGTGGTATATGTACTTGTACTGAGAGTAGTACCAGTAAGTAGCACGTACTTGCACCAGCACTAGTATATACATTTACCAATACATACAAGTCTTAAGTTTGCAAATGAACACAGAAGACGGAAGGCAAACCACATGTCTGCATACATGCCTACGTACGTCCAAGCCAAGCACACACTGTCACATGCACATAATGTAAGCGCCTTACTGGCCGGAATAGGGTTCTGAACTCCTTTATCGTACCATGATACTTAATTAATGAGGAGCCCGAATTTTACTGGCGGAAACTATTTAGGCCTCTATAGGACCCACCACCCCGGAAAACCGTCAACGTCGAAACCCTGAATCTCTGAACCCCTGAACTTAGACCAGCAACCCTCAAGGCCCTAAACCCCCAATTAGGGTTTAGGGTTTAGGGTTTAGGGTTTAGGGTTTAGGGTTTAAGGTTTAGGGTTTAGGGTTTAGGGTTTAGGGTTTAGGGTTTAGGGGTTTAGGGTTTAGGGTTTAGGGTTTAGGGTTTAGGGTTTAGGGTTTAGGGTTTAGGGTTTAGGGTTTAGGGTTTAGGGTTTAGGGTTTAAGGTTCAGCAGCTCCGGATCGAGCAGTTTTAAAGTAGAGTTGTGTTTACGGTTTAGAAATAACACCCACCCACCCTTAGAATCCCATAACATCAGGGAAATACAAAGTTTCACTTCTTTCGCGGATGAAGGCCCAACCTTCAGACCAACCCACCCACCCTAGATCCTTCCAAAGTTTGGGCCTTATCCCGCGAAAAGTTTGGGCCTTATCCCACGAAAAGTTTGAGCCTTATCCCACGAAAGTTTGGGCCTTATCCCACGAAAAGTTTGGGCCTTATCCCACGAAAAGTTTGGGCCTTATCCCACGAAAAGTTTGGGCCTTATCCCACGAAAGTTTGGGCCTTATCCCACGAAGAGTTTGGGCCTTATCCCATGAAAAGTTTGGGCCATATCCCACGAATTCCATTAAGGTTGGTCTGGAATTGGGCCTTATCCCATGAAAAGTTTGGGCCTTATCCCACGAATAGTTTGGGCCTTATCCCACGAAAAGATTGGGCCTTATCCCACGATAAGTTTGGGCCTTATCCCACGAATTCCATTAAGGTTGGTCTGGACTTGGGCCTTATCCCACGAAAGTTTGGGCCTTATCCCACGAAAACCATTAAGGTTTAAATTACTATTGATAAAGAGTATTTAGGGTTTAGGGTTTAAGGTTTAAGGTTTAGGGTTTAGGGTTTAGGGTTTAGGGTTTAGGGTTTAAGGTTTAGGGTTTAGGGTTTAGGGTTTAGGGTTTAGGGTTTAGGGTTTAGGGTTTAAGGTTTAGGGTTTAGGGTTTAAGGTTTAGGGTTTAGGGTTTAGGGTTTAGGGTTTAGGGCCCTGAAGCCTAAACCCGAAGCCCTGAACCCTGAACCCCTACAACCCTGTAGATCCCTTTGGGGAGCCCGTTTGGGAGCCCTTTATGGAAAAAAAACCCAAAAACCCAAACCCTAAAGGACCCCTAGAGATCCTTTTAAAGGACCCCTCTTTAAAGGAACCCTTGTAATTCCCCTTCAAAGGAACCCCTTAAAACCTCTTACAACTCCTATGATACCCCTTAAGGGAACTCCCCCAAAAACCCTAAAAGACCCTATAATACCCTTTTAAATGAACCCCCTAAATTAAAGAAAACCTTAAAGCCCCTGTAAGGCCCTGTAATACCCCTTTCAAGGAACCCCTTAAGACCCCCTTGTTTCGCCCGCTCTGAGCCGAGGCCTCGAGGAAGGCCAAGTTCGACTTGGCGCGCTTTCGGCTCTGCGGGATGGGCGCCTTGTTTCAGGGTGTGCATATGTATGTATGTATGTATGTATGTATGTATGTATGTATGTATATATATATATATGTATGTGTATATATATATATACATCTCTCTCTCTCTCTATATATATATATATATATATATATATATACATATATATATATATACATATGCAAATATGTAGAAATATACATATATATATATATGTCTTTTTTCGAGGTATGTAAGTCTGTTTGCTTTACGGTGTAGATGTAAACATATATATGTATATATATATATATATATATATATAATATGGGGTTGAAGTTTTATGGGGTTTAGGGTTGGGTTTATAAGGTTCAGGGTTTAAGTTTCATGGGGTGGAGGGTTGGGTTTAGGCTTTGGGGCCCAGCCTGGGGCATCTAGTGAGAGTTTGCAGCGTTTTCTCCTTTGAAGTCTAGGGTTTAGGGTTTAGATTTTAGGGTTTAGGTTTTAGGGTATGGGGTGACGTCTCTTTGTCTGCCCGCGCGGCTCCCAACAGACAAATCGTTGCCATTGGCATACGATCGGGTTTAGGTTTTAGGGTTTAGGCTTTATATATGGTATAGGGTTTAGGGTTTGGGGTGTTGGGGAGGGTTTGCTGAGTCTAGATTGAGATAAGCTTTCCGGGCAATGTATGGCAGCCTACAGCGCTGCGGTCGGAGGTTTCGAGGGCATTTTCGGCAGAGTGCTTGTGGCGCTTGACATATTTGGGAGTTTCCGAAAACAGCGGACCCTAATATAGTACCCTACATAGTAGGATCCTTATTATAAGGACCCCCCAAATAAGGTACCTTGAATTCTTGGAAACTCCCATTTCGGAAGAGCCTAAACCCGAAGCCCTAAGCCATAAACTTGCCTTACTTGCACGGATCTTCTGTGTGCTTTCATGTGGTTGCCAAACGATTTTTCTAGAATGGGCTTCTTTCAAGGGGGCCTGGAAGTCTTTCTAGGGTCTGGCAACCCTAAACCCTAAACCCTAAACCGCGGTCTGCACTGGCATTTTAGAGGGCAGGGTATTAAGGTTGAGGGTTTGAGCATTCTAGAGGTCAGGGTTTTACGGTCTGAAGCGCTTGGGAAAAGGCTTAAGGGTTTCAGGTTCCGCATGTGGTCTGATTGTAAGGGTAGATTAATCTTCTAAACTCAAGAGTGACCTAGGGTTAAAAAGGGTGCCCTTTTTGTTTTTGAGGGGGCTTATAAGGGAACCTGAACCCTAGAAAAAGGGAATAAGGGCCTACTCTAGGTCCTAGTCTTTTCAAGTTTTGGATCGAGTGTGTATTATCAACGTAGCAATCATCGGAACACAAAAGCGAGAACTTGGAGCTTCATGCGTAGTTATAAGTGGTGTTATTACAGGCCCCTTAATATGGGTTAGGATTGTATTGGGATTTGCATGCCTCAGGGTCACCTACTGGATGCCTAAGCTTAAATTTGTTTAGGGGTTAAGGGTTTAGGGGTTTGGTTTAGGGTTTAGTTTACGGGTTTGGGTTTAGGGGTTTAGGTTTGGCGGCTGGGGGTTTTGAAGGGCTTTAGAAGAAACCAGGCACGTGAACAAAATACCATGGGGAGTGTGCCTTAAACTATAGGGGCCTTGTTATTAACGAGTTAAGCGATCTTCCTTGACTAAGGGGTATTGGGAAAGCTACAAGGCTCAAGGGCCCACTTGTCGGGTATCATGGGGAACTAAAGATTTAGCTTTTCGGTTCTATGGGGACTAAATATATGGGAACTATACTACCCAGAAAAGGTTAAAGGTTACCTACTCTACTGCTAGGCTAGGGGGATCTATGCTTTAAGCGTGCAGGTCTTGGCCGGACTCTTCAGTTCCATTTCGAGCGCGACATGCGCTGCTGACTTCTCTTTGCTGCGTCAGGGTGATTCTTGCTGTCGCCACGTCAGCGTGCCGTATAGTAGCTTCTCAGCAGCTGCATGGACATGATGCGGCGGATGTTTCAGAATGAACTGTGCTTCTGCAGTGCCTGCATGCCGCAAGCGAGCTGTACCCTGCCCAGTGCAATCACACCCACGCGCAGCCGATGGCTGCCTTGGGCACGCACATCGCAAAATGACTCGTTCAGGGGCTCCTCAGTCGGTTCCTCTGTGAAGCGGAGCGGCTCTGTAATGCTTTTGGCCGGAGCGGCCTGCCGTTAGAGCGATAAAAAGCTATATGTTCAATAATCCCCGGCAGTTGTATTATACCGAAAATGAAGGAACATTCCTGGGAACACTAAGCTATACGCTAGATGGCTTCCCTACCGTAAACCCTAAACAATTCTTTTGTACAGAGGGACCGGGCTCCAGTCTAGAGTTTCCCCTCCGAAACCCTCCCAAAGCAGTGTCTAAACAGCCGTCACTGATCGTAAATCGTGGGTATTGGTTAGTTTCTGCCCCCACCCTGTAATAGTGACTATAAGGATTTTATTAGGGCCCTATTATATTCCTATTATTCCACTATTACAGGGTGGGGGCAGCTTCTAAGGTATTGGGCTCTGTAAATCTCTATAGGAAGCCTTGCGACATCCTGCAGAAAGGTCTATCAAAACACCCCAGACCCCCTCAAACCCTTGTGAACCCGTAGCTCAAGGGCACTTTAACCTCCTATCAGATCCGCAAGATGGATCTTCGATAGAAGGCCGTATCACAACCAATGCAAAGGTAGGGTTTACCTCGTCTGAGGGCTCCATAGCAGAGACTGTGGCTCGTCCTGGTAGGGTTTAGGGTTCAAGAGGTTCTTGCGGCCCTAGACGGCCGTATCATAACCCATATAAGGGTAGCGTTTGTAGAACGGCAAGGGTACCTTCCTTTGGGGGTTCTGTTTTTGTGGACCCTGTATGTAGGGGTATCCCTGGACCATAAGAGTTTAAGCCCGACACCCTGAACCCCAAAAGCCCTAAAGCCTAAATGAGCCCTATTTAAACCCTATAAGCCCGAAACCTATCAGCCCTCAATCCTGGAAAAGTTGGTCTGAGTCCTGATAGTTCCTTATAAGAACCCTTAAAGATCCCGTATAGGAACCCTTAAAAGCTACCGTAAGGGAACCCTACAAGGACTGAGTCCGGGACCTATAGTACCCCTATAGATCTGATATAATACTCCTTTTCGAATCCTGAAAGGAATCCTTATAAAAAAAACCCTAAACCCTAAACCGGCCCTAAACCCCAACTAACCCTAAAGCCTAAACCCTCAACCCTAAACCCTGAGCCCTAAACCGGTTTAGGGTTTAGGGTCTAGGGCCTTGTACACTTATAGATCGCTTATAGCAATCCTTTTATGAATCCTGAAAGGAACCAAACCTAAACCCTAAACCCTAGAGCCTGAACCCCTAAACCCTTAAACCCCTAAGCCCTTAAACTCCTAAACCCTTAAACTCCTAAAAACTAAACCCTAAAAATTAGACCCTAAACCCCCTAAACCCTTATAAACCCTAAATCCATACCTTAACCTACCAAACCCTACTTTTTGTAGGTTCTTATTATAAACCCCATATGGAATTTATAGGGACCCTGCTTTTTTGTAGGTTTTGGTAGGTTAAGGTAGGAGTCTGAGTCCCGCACCAGCTTCGCCTCAAGCTGCCTCTTCGTGGACATGGGCAGCCGCGGCAAAACCGTGGAGTAGTACCTGGAGGGCTCGAAGAAGGGGCTCCTGTAAATTATGGTTTAGGAGTTTAGGGTTTTAGGGTTTTACTTGGAGGGTCTGGAGCGGGTATAGAGATTTCTAGGGCTCCTTTAACGGGATCCTATAAGGGTATAGGGTTTAGGGTTTAGAGTGCTTGGAGGGTCGGGGGACTTAGGAACTGGTTATTTTAAGGCTTTTTTAGGGTACTTATAAGTCTACTTACTACCTACTTACTAAGTCCCCCGACCCTCCAAGTAGGGGTTTCTAGGGGTTGTAGCTTTTATGGAGTTTTGCAGGGGTTACAGGGTTGATACGGTTGTAGGGCCTAGTTCAGAGGTTTATCGGGGTTGTAGGGTTTAGGGGTTTGGGGGGTTTGGGGGTTTGGGGGGTTTGGGGGTTTAGAGTTTAGAGTTTTCCAGTTTACGAGTTTGGGGTTTAGGGTAAGCGGTTTAGAGTTCAGGAGCTCAAGAGTTTAGAGTTTGGGATGTGGGAGCTTGTTAAACGAAGTCCCCTTTGCTCTATGTTTTGCTTATCGGCATTTTATGATGTGTTTCTTATTCCTCATGTCTTCTTTGTCCATACAAAGGTTCTATAAGGGTTCCACAAGAGCCTAGGATTCAACCATTGGGGTTGAGGAGAATTAGAGGGGTTTGGGTCTACTGTTAGCCCCAAACCCAACAAACCCTGAACCATAGGAACCTGAATCCCACAAGCCCTAGAAACTACACAGTCAACACTACATGCACAACCCTTAACGCTAAACCCTAAACCCCAAACCCTGAACCCTAAGCACTCAACACAGATTCCAAGCCCCGGACCCCGAACTCCAAAACCTCGAACCCTGAAGGAGTGGCAGTTCGGAGAAACCACGGGGAGCTTTACCGGGCTTTGAGATACTTTGACGAGGATGCCCAGTAACCTAGGAGAAAAACAGGGCTCCCTTTTTGGTATTGGGTACCTTCATACGGAACCAAGGACTGCAAAAAGGGAATAAGGGTACTACTGGGCCTCCAAGTTGAAGTAACCAGGGAGACAACAAAGCATAGACGCTTCTTCCCCAATGGTCCCTTGAAGGAACAGCTCCAAGGATTCAAGTATAGTACTCCCGAACCCATTTTAAGAATGCAGGGCAAGGGATCAATTAAATTTGGGGGTTAAAGTCAGTCTCGCAGGGTTTGGGACGGTTGGGGACTAGGGATTTGGGGTTTGGGGATTAATGGAGAATGCAGAGCAAAGGAAAATCTCAGCTATTGTCAAGATTGCCGATGAATCCACGAGGACGTGATTCTCCAATAGCTACTGACTATTCAATAACCCACTGGGGACAGAACAGTATACAGGCTACGATAAACGATAGCTATATCACAAATGAAGGAACCCAGAAACCAAAAGTAAAAGCGGATACTGCTGAACGCCCTAGCAGCACCCGAACAAAATGATACATTTTAGGGTCGGTCTGCAGGTAGTGACTGGTGGTTGCGGCTGGCACGTCGCAGTGTTGGAAGTAACGTAGTTACTAAACCACCCAAAAATACCTTTTCAGCTTGACTTTTTATGACTTTCTTGTACAAGTCCTTGCAAAGGTAACCCTAGTAGGGTAGTTGGGGTAAGGTAGGGCTGGTGGGGCCTATAGGGTTTAGGACGGTTTAGGGATTGGGGATTTGGAGTTTTGGGGATTCGGGTATCTAGGATGTAGGGCTTCAGAAATCTAGACCTAAGAGTAACCTAGGAATAAAAAGGGTGCCCTTTTTGGGGTAACGGGTCTTATAAGGGAACCTAAACCATAAAAAAGGGAATAAGGGCCTACTCTGGGTCCTGGAAATTTTAGGGCTTTGATACATGTGCTGCGGCTTCATTTATTTCACCGACGAGCGACAAAAAAATCCTAGCGGGTTTCAACCTCCTTCGGAGGAGCAGCGGAGTATTCCTTCCAGATTTGCATCGCATGCAAACCTTCGGCTGAGTGCCTGGAGTCTGGATGGAACCCTGGCCCTAAAAGCTAAACCCTGAACTCTGCATCATAACCTCACAGGTGATGTGAACTTACAGCCTTCGCACAGCCCGCAAGCCCCCAAAAGAAACTCAAGACCTAACCTAATCTCTGCCGCCCTCGTTCTCCTTCACCCTACACCCCGTAACATCCTGCAGCCATAAACCCTAAACCTTACTTTAATTAGGGTCTAACTTAAGGTGTGCGGTCCAAAATCTGGAACTCGCACATAATATGAAAGCCGGGATTACGGTATACAGTCACAGAGCTTGGGGTTTAGGATAGTGCGGTCTCTTGTAGTCTTGTGCATGTAGAAGTTTGAAAACACTACACTAGGCCGAGCTTTCATAAACCTCCGTTCCAAGTATGCAGGACTGCGAGAAACCGCACGCCATCAATCGAAAGCCAAACCCTGTTTTCATCAAACAAACCATCCAGGAAAACATATAAAATACAAACGTGTAGGTAGTTCTCTAAACTAGTGTCCCGTTTAGGGTCCTTTCTATATGGGTGTTCATGGGTAGTTCTAAGTGCGGCTTTGGGTAACTGTACTATAGGTATAACCCGCATTGGTGGTCTTATAACTTCCCGTAAACCTCCAAGTAATATGGGAGCCTTAACAATTGGAGTAGGGTTTTGAGCTACCATAGTTACAATAAGGAACCCCCAAAACGGTATAGGTAATGTATTAAGGCCCCTATAGTAGGCCGGCTGCCTCCACTAGACAACCATGCCAAGAAATATCGCTAATCCCAACCAGAGCAATATCAACAAAGGAGGGGCACGCAAAGCGCAAAGTGGAACGCCCAAAGTTAACATAATAACATAGAACAGCCACATGTGGGGTATAGGCTTCGGACTTTGATTTTAAGGATTTGGCGAGTGACTGTCGCGTCCAGTATCCGGAGCGCTGTGCCGTTTCGCATAGAGCCCAAAACTGCTTGATTCAGAGATCTTCAAGCATTTCATATTGAGAGGCCGTGCTACATCCAAGGATTGTTCCTAAATTACGATGTATTTGGGCTCTCTGGGATACGCTTGCTAGAACATGCAGCCATGCTGTCGCCATGCCATTTGCAGCACAATGTAGAGTGGGCATACTACAGGCTATACAGTTTGAGCAAAGCCTTCCAAAATAGATGCTTAGTTGACCTATACTTTCCACCCCTGTTCCTGGGTTTGCTCAGCCGTTCTATGGATACGATCCTAAATAGACCAAAGAGGAAACCACACGCAACGACTACTGCCGAGGGTATAAGTTTCATAAGGGCCTCAATGGTTAGATTGGTATCTCTTGGGGCTCCTGACTATAGTTGCAGTATAAACGACCTCACGGCAAGACTATTTTATTCAGGCCCCTACATCATGAGCATTCAGCTTTACGAACGGGGTCGAAATCCCATCCAAAGTTTTACTTGCAGATTTCAGTCGTGATAACAGTGTGGCCTCAATAGTTGGCCTAGGGTTTTGGAAATATAGTATTCTACCAATCATGTTAAGCCATATCAGATACTGTAAAAGGTGTCAGAGACTACATGGGTGCATCGGGAGATTATGACTAGTTCTTGCGACCACTTGTGGTAATGCCGATGCTGCAAACGGCGGGCGAAAACTCATGGGCATTGTGGTTCTGAGGTGTTCTTGTGAAAGCCGTCCTTCGAGGGCTCCAAAGGGCACAAAGATCATACATCTGAAAGGTGTAGTGCATTAGCAAAGGTTTACGGCATGCACTTGTAGGGTTTAGGGTTTAGGGGCTTGGAGGACATAACCCGATGTGGCTGCGACGGAACATAATGTAAAGGCCTTAATATTTAGAATAGGGTCTGGGGGTACACTATACTATGACTATAATAAGGAACCCCAAAAGCCCTAGTCTAATTATCAAGGCCCCTACATTAAATACATCCCATGTTGGAGGCGCTTTCTCTCGGCCTTCGTGCGTGACCGACCTGCAGAAGTTTCCATGGAGGCAGCTAATATATACAGTTAGCATCTTCGGCATGTCCCCCCCTTTGGCCGCCATACCCTACACCCTAAACCCCGATACCCTGAACCCGAAACCACAAAACCCGCAACCCCGAAACCCTACACCCATGCGCCCGAATTCTCGCAACTGCTTGCGTCCGTGTTCATTTCGCCCTGTTTGCGGCCCTTGGCCGAACTCTGGCGTTGTGTTGGCCAACTCTTCTACACAGAGAGCTCTATCATCCTAAACCCTAGATCTTAAACATTGCTGCCCTTTCCCACTCTCATCCCACATGGAGATTCAGCATCGCTAGGGAAAACGATGGGGCCCCTGAACGAATGGGAGCCTATGCCTCCAAAGCTTCCCTCGAGAAACTTGCAGGTGCACGCCGAAGGGCTCATTGTCTGAATTCCGGGGTGAGACGTCGGGTGAAGATGCTCATTGCAGAGTCTGAACCTGCGTGGCACAGCACCCACAAACCATAAACCCTATCATCTGTAGGGAGCCCTACTATCTCTGGAGGAGAAAATCCCTGAGAGCCTAGATCTAGATCCTGTAGTCCTATGGCTTGGGGGTATAAAGTTAAAGGCTTAGGGCAAGATGTTTTTATCTGAATTTAGGGCTTATAGGGTGTAGACTTGCGACTTCCGGTTTTGCCCAGGGGGTGCACATTCAGAGGCGCGAACACGTCACACACACACACACAAAAAAAAAACAAAGCCAACAAGCGAACAAACAAACAAACAAACACAGAAATGCACACATGTATGTGTTTCTGCATGTATGCAGGTGTGTTTGCATGTCTGCATGTCTGTCTGTATGTATGTATGCGTGTGTATGCATGTATGCATATTTGTATGCATGCATGTGAACATGTATGCATGCATACGTATGTTTGTCTGCTTGCATATAGCATACTGCTGTAACTGTATATGTACCAGTAAAGCATGCATATATGTGTATATGTATGCACACAGACGTTCCTCCACACTGACATGCAGAATGTTTGTTGCGAGTTTTGCGGGACTCCTCGAGTCTACCCACACA